TTTTTTTTTTTTTTACTTATTATTGTTGTGCTGTGGGCACACTATGACATTTACAAAAGTTCTTACAATATATCATAGTTGAATTCACGCCCCCCCCATCATTCTCCTTTACCAGTTGCAGCTTTGACAAAGAGAGAGAGAGAGAAATCTTCAATCTTTGCTCCTCTGTTTGGGGTGCAAGGAGTAATGAAAATTTCTCTTCAAAGCGCCTCTCATAGGACTGTCACAGCAGTAGAGCCCACATCTACTGGTACTCCAAAAACCCACAGAAAAGGCAACATGTATTTTAAGAATATGACAGGTGGTCTTTAGAAGTGTAATGTAAAAAACATGCCTACCTGTGTAGATCCAAGCATGCATAAAATATAAATGTGTATATACATATGTAGATAGAGAAAGCCAGAATGAGATTTCTTGATTGACTCATTCATTAATTTAAGAAAAAGAAATCAGTTTGAGGTGATGACTATGCAAATTACCCTGCCCAGATCATTACACATTGTGTACATGTACTGAAATGTCACACTATACCCTGTAAGAACACACAGTTATGTGTCAAAAATAAAATAAATATAAAAATTTTTTTAAAAATTAACTAAAAAAATGTCAGAATTATCCCAAAATGTCCATCAGAAGAATAGGCAGGAAAATTATATTTTATTTCCTACTATATAATAGTGAAAAAGTAGGGGCTGAATGGGTGGCTCAAGTGGTAGAATGCTTGTCTAGCAAGTGCAAGGACCTGATTTCAAACCATAGCCCTGCAAACAAACAAAAAAATAATGATAATGTAAGAAAGAATTATAAGCATGCATATTATATGCCACATTATCTCAATTCTCTTCATTAATTTAAGAATCATCATCCCCAATTTAAATGAAAAAGTAAGTACAATTGCCTTGGATCACAAAGTTAACACAGAGCAAAGCTGAGATTCACATCCAGGCTTTTTGACCCTCTACCCCGGTGTTTTTTCCACTGTATCCCAGACTTCCTCCCAAAACCTGAATTTGTGCTGGTTAATAAATAGAATGCAAATATAAAGTAATGTTAAACAAAAAACAAATCATGGTAGATATATGGTAAGTAGATGTATTGATTTTAATCATATGAAGTTTTATATGTATATACTAAAATTGATAAGCAGAATAAGACTGAGAAAAAAACTGGAATTAAAATAATCAGAATTTGTTTTTCCTATGAGGTTGTTTAAGCATATAATAAATAAGATGACCAAAATCATGTATCTGTGCATGTCTACTCCTGGCTAATTAAGGTAAAGAAGTGACAATAAATATACAAGACCTAGTTAATGGCTGAATGTGGGCCAGGTTAAAATGGAAAAATAGCCCATTCTTCCTTAAATTTTCACCAACTCAGAACCAAAGCGACTGTCAGTTTCTTTGCTATATCAAGGTATGGGATTTCTATAAGGTGAAAAGCTTTGCAAGCAAGTTCAGACCCCTCTACAGAAATACCCTTTTCTTAAAATTAGCTTTTATGTGATAACATTCTTTAAATTCTTCCTTCAACCAAAAAAACTTGATTCTAGATGAGCATATAGCACATTCATAATCTTCCTTCTTATATTCCTCTCCTCAGATATGAGGGCTATATTGATACTTAGAGGAGTAGGCAGACCCAAGCATGGGTCTCACTTGGGCCCACAATGTACTCTAACTTGCAGGAATAACCAGAGTGGCCTCGGGTGCAAACTCCCTTTTCCAAACAGCACTGAAAAATTCATATGAACTGCCTTCCATCCAGAGACCAGCCAAGAAAAGGCTCCCAAAGGGCTAGTTTTGAAGAGCCCTGTGCTCAAACCCATGCACTTGGAACAAAGCAAGAAGCTACCTGGGTCTTGCTACTACATTCTACTGTTTTTATAAAGGGAAGTTATCTATGTCTTCTGATTCAAGAATGCAGTGGAAGAATGAAATGTTGACAAAGGTTTCTGAGATTGCTTTAAAAAAGAAAATGGCTTACAGATATAATTGACAGTAATATTAGATTCTTTATGAAAAGTATTTCTTGCCAACCATAACAATAATGAAAAAGTTACTTACTTGTTTCCCCTTAAAACCACTCTTGTGTTTTAAAGTTACATAGTGATAACCTCCCTAAGTTCTAGTTTTGTTTTGAAACTCTTGTTTCCTTTCTTCTTTTTTCTTATGTTAACCTCAACTAATAAAGTACCCTGTTTCTCAAGAATCTAGGAAATTGCTTGAAATGACTGAGACAGAGTTAGCTCATGTTACTAAATTTGAGGGTAGCAATTTGACCCATAATTTATTCAAATTTTCTAACAACTACATACAGAAAAAGTCAGTTAGCTGAAATGGCTGATCTCATTACTGGTTTCCTGCTACAGCCCCAAAGGTTTATTAATAAAGATATTTATTGACTTTTTTTTTGGCAGCACTGGAGATTTAACTCTGGACCTCATCTTTGCTGGGTAAGTGCAACACCACTTGAGCCATGGCCCAGTCCTTTTACTTTTAGTTTGTTTTTCAAAGATGGTCTTGCACTTTATCCAGACTGGCCTCTGACCATGCTCCTCCTACCTCGGCCTCCTGTATAGCCAGAATTACAGGTGTGCACCACTACACCTGACTTGTTTTTGACATAGGATCTCTTTAAATTTTGCCCAGGCTCACCTTGAACCACAATCCTCTTATCTCAACCTCCTGAGTAGCTGAGATTATAGACATGAGCCATCATGCCTGGCTTCTATGAATATTTTTTAATGTGCCAGTTACTCTATTAAAAGATTTGCATGTATTATCTTACTCAATTCTTACAATCCTAAGAAGTTACTGCGAGAGTTGTTATCATTGCCTCATTTTGCAGATGAAGAAACTATGACATACAAGTTGAGTAAACTGCCCAAATAATTTATCTAGTCAGTTGGGAACTGGCTCCAGAGACTATGGGACCACCATGCAAGCACTGGCTGTATCTGCTAGGTCCACAGAGTGGGCTCTTACAGCTCCAAGCCAGCTGCATTGCCACTGATCCCATACCCAGATCCAAACTCACATCTCTCATCATTTTCACTGCTTCCCTGGTCCTCCCGAGTCTTCTGGCACACATTGCTAGCCTTCTTTTGATGTAGACCAAGACATTGGTATCTCGTCCTGAAGGAGATATAAGACACCAAAAATTAAAAATTTAAAAAAAAAA